TTAATCACTGAATGGGGCTTGCCTCAGTCAACCTGAGACCTGTTAAAGACCTTAGTTTAAAAAGGCCAACACCTCCCAGTGCATTCTGGGTCATCTCCAGTCATCCTGATCTATATCTGGCCACTAAACCCAGATGGCTCCAGGGGAGAAAGTGAGGCTGGTGACTTTATATGGCCCTTCCTCACTTAAATCCAGTTCACTTGCAAGTCATGGCATTATCTTCCTGATGTCATGGCCCTCTTTGAGAATGTGTGTGTGTGTGTGTGTGTGTGTGTGTGTGTGTGTGTGTGTGTGTGTACATACATATAATCAACAGAGGGAAGGCCCTGGGATTAAGGGTATCAGGAATGGTTCCCTGTAGAAAGCTAGGATTTTAGCTGGGACTTAAAGGGAGCTAGAGGAGCCAGGAAGCAGAGATGAGGGGGAAGAACATTCCAGATATAGGGAGCATCCAGGGCTGAGTGAAGAAGTATCGTGTTCCAGGCTCAGTAAGGATGCCATGTGTCACTGCATGGCAGAACAAGTGGGGATGGGAAGCAGAGAAGTGGGAATATTGCTCGTTTGTGAGAAATGGTTAGGGGAAAACCCCCCTCAAAATAGAGGAATAAGACTAAATTGAGAAAATACCTGTTAGAGCTGAAAGGGACCTCAGAGCAGAAAGAGAGCTGGTTTTGTAGTCAAGGGACTTGAGTTGAAGTTCTGACGCTCAATATCTGTGTGACTTTAGGTAAGTCACTTAACCCCTAGCAAGAATATTGGGGGAACACAGACTTGGAGTCAGAAATCCCTTAGTTTCGGAGTCAATGAATCCTAGCTGCTTCGATTCAGCCACTCTCCCCACCCCAACCCTTGACCATCCTGCAATCCTGTGCCCTCTCCTCCCCCTCCTCAGCCCTGGTGACCATTCCTGCTCGCCTCTGGTTCACAACCCACAGCATCCCCAACATCTCCCCCGTCCTAATCCAAACCCCCAGATCAGGGTTTTGGCTACAACAAGCGGACTGGATGGTAGGTCTTCCTATTATGTGACAGCCTTTGAGTGGCTTAGCCTGGCATAGAGAAGAATAGAATAGCCTCCAGGCACCTAAACTTTTGAGTGGGTGTGTGTTGGCACAGAGGGTAGGAGGAGAGAGAAATTGCCAAATGTTCATTATCATTGTCATCAAGAAACTTTTCACTGAGCTCCTGGGTTCACTGAGATGAGTCAGAGTCAAGGCAAAGCTAACCTCTCAGGATAAGCTAACGTGCCAGGGCACCTGGTGGAACAGAGGGGCAGTGCGTAGAGCTGTAACCAGGAAACTCTGTGCCCAGGGGCTACTACCATAAACCTCACCCAGGAAAGACTGTGAAGTGCAAACTCAGGTACAGAGAATGGAGGTTGGGGGTGGGGGAAGACAGAGACCTTGGACACATTGCCATGAGCCCCTTTTAGGGCCCAGCGCCCCCATATGGGTGGGAAGCAAGGCCGGATAGGGTAGAGGGAAGAAGTGATGCCACAGCCTCCCATCTGGTAGCTTTCAACGTTAACGAATGGCTCTTGCTAAGTAGGTGCCAAACTCTATTGCTTCCAGGCTCTGGAGACTACAGCTGCTGTTAGCATCCCCTAAATTCAGTGCCCTCTGAATTTCTAGTTACAGCTCTGATGGAACTAGTTTGGTGTGCTGGAAATAGTAGCAAACATTTATATCATGGGTACTCTGTGTCAGGCACTGTGCTGAGCACTTTACAGTTACTTTATTTGACCCTTACAACAATCTGGGGAAGCAGGTGTTATCATCATCCCCACTTTACATATGAGATAACTGAGGCAAAAAGAGGTTAAATAATATTTATATGGTGCCTACTATGTGCCAGGCGCTGCGCAGAAGTGCTTTACAATTTTCTCGTTTTGTCCTCACAACTCCGGGAAGTAGGCGCTGTTAATCATCCCCATGTTACCATGGGGATGAGAAAACCGAGGCTGGGAAATTGCTACATCTTTCAGATTGCACAGCTGATAATTGCGGTAGCCAATACAAGCACAAGTCTTCCTGATTCCAAGGCCATCATTCTATCCACCACATCAAGCTGCCTCCCAAGTGAAAGATGAAGTCAGGAAGCCAGGGTTTCAAATCCCTACTGCCACATCACCTATCTCAGCCTCAGTTTCCTTATCTGTAAAATATTGTAAGGGGAAGGGTGAAATAACTAGCATCTTCACAGGATCTAATGAGATAACATGTGTAAAGTGACTTACTGACCCAAAAGCCTATATTCCTATGTTAATGTTATCATTGCCACCATTATGATAGTCCAGTGTAAGTCAGAATGGTCCATGCCCCAGAACAGGTCCAACCAAAAGGCATTTTGCAAGCCTTTAAGCACTATACAAATAAGAACTATCAGAGCTATGAGGAGAGGCCACAGGACGTGGGGAGAGAGTTGGTCTTAAAGGCACGAAAATCTCTGATCCCACCTCTGATATGTAACCCTTTGTGACTCTGGGTAAATGACTTCTCAGTGCTCAAGGCTCTTTCAAGTGCCCTAGGACTCTTATGTTGCAGAGAAGATGACAACCCACATCAGTCAGTTCCCAATACCAGTAAAATCACAGGTTCATTCCTCTCCTCTAATTAGGACAATGGGAGAAAACAGCACACAAGCCCCAGTCTCATCTTCCTGATCTTCCTGCCAGCCTCTCTGCTCAGAGATGCCAGAACATCTGGATTGATGCAGATTGCTACTCCCACCCCAACATCGACTCTTCCCTCAACAGACAGAACCCTACACCCCCCTCCTTCACATACCTCTGGGTCTTTTCCCACCACCCCTGCACAGTATCTGTGTAAGAATTCTGCTCAAATAACACCTTCTGATCCTTCTGACTTTCCCCTTTCCCCCCGACCCAAAAAAAAACAACTTACCTTGCATTTATTTTGTCTATGATTATTTACTTAACTGTTTTCTCCCCAGATAGCAGGGCTAGGATTATCTCCTGTTCATCTTAGTGCCTTCTGCTCACACCCGGTAAGTTGCCTGCTTGTTAACCCTGGGCCACCAGGGCCTGCCTCCCTTGCCAGCCCACGAATCCTCTCCCTCTGTCTTATTCCCCAGGGGCTGGCAAGCAGCAGCCTTCCCCACCCTTCCTCCACCAAGGCCAAGACCACACAGCATTCAAAGTGACTTTATTGACAAATCGCTTTGGTATTTGATCCAAGGACACTTTGTAATTCAAGGAAGGGGACACTGGTGAGTTAAAGGAATCCTTTCAGCTCTTGGGCCGACTGACTGACAAGTCAGCTGCTGGGAGCTTCCAGAGTTTTCCCCTTCATGGGAGGCGGCTGGAGCTCAGTCCTGATGTGGGATGTACATGTGTTTGAAAGAGCTTCTGAATTTGAATGCCACTTCCTGGGTCAAAACGGGGGTAGGATGAGGAGGTGGAGGCAGCTGCGGTATGCACTGGAAAGAACACTAGCTTTGGAGTCTAAAAATCTGGGTTTAAATTCTGGCTCTGCTACACGCTGCCCATGGGGACTTGCGCAAGTCACTTTGGGCCTCAGTTTCCTCATCTGTCAAATGAGGGAGGGTTGAACTAGATGATCTCTAAGGTCCTTTTTAGCTCCAAATCCCACAATCCAATGTCAGGGACTGAAGTTCTTTACCACAGAACTCTGAGGCCTCATTTTCATCCCAGGGAACAGGGCTCTTCCTACAAGGAACCTGCACCCCCAGTACCACGTGGTACCCATTGGCCCACACAGCCCACAGTGTGGCTACAGGCCCACAGCAAGGGAAACATCAAGTCTAAACAGGAGCAGCATCGGGATGCTGGGATATTTGGCCAGACCAGGTAGCCCCAACTGCACTGTTTATCCCAGGGGACAACAGTCGGGGAAAGCTGGATGGGGTCCATAGTGAATTGTGGTAACAAGAGCACGGTTGTTCCACTATGGGACCTTGGGAAAGTCATTTTCCCTGTCTGACACTAACTTTCTTCACATATAAGATGAGAAGGCTGGACCAGACCATCTTTAATAGCCCTGCTAACTTCAATCCTATGATGCTGTGAGCTACACCTCCAGAGACAGGTCTGCTGGCCCCAGGGATGAGGAGCTTACCGAAAGAGCCTGGCTGGTAGAATGAGCTGAATGCCTGACCTGGAGACAGGCAGACCTTGGTTCAAATCCCCATGCCTGAAACTTATGACTATGGAGTTTGATGATGTGGGGCTGGTGTGAGGCCTTTATCTGTATTCCTTGAAATCTCAGATCTGAAGAGCATCCTTGGGCAAGTGACTTCATTTCTCTAAGCCTCTGTTCCCACATCTGTAAAATGGGGATGATAACACCCATAGCACCTACCTCACAGGGCTGTTGTGAGGCTACAAGAAGATGGTGCACACACAGCACTTTGTAGCACTACGTAGGTATCAGTTGTTGTGGCTGTTACTATTATTATAGGAATTATTAACCAGGAAGGAGGTGCCCTCAACTGATGAATTTGGTTTTCAGTTCAGATCATTCCCAGAGAATAAGAAATAGAGCTCTGTTGTAAAAAAAAACAAAAAACCCTGGACCTGGTTAGGAAAGGTCAAGAAATAGCCCATTGAGGGAATTATAATAATCATAATCAGCATTCTCATAGGGCCTACTATGTATATGCCAAGCACCGTGCTAAGCACTTTACAAATATTATCTCATTTGATCCTCACAACAACCCTGGGAGGTAGATGCTATATTAGCCCCTTTTTATAGATGAGGAAACTGATAGGCAGAGGTTAAGTGACTTTGCCAAGGTCACCCAGCTAAGGAAGCATGTGGAATATATGTCCAGAAAGCAGCACCTTTATCTCCTGTGCATCATTGATCCCTGGGCAGTCTGAGAGGAATGATGGATTCCTTGAAGTCCCATGAGAAAGTCAGATGCCCTGGATTTGAATCCTGCCTTTTGTCACTGACTAGCTATGTGACCTTAGGAAAATCATACTAAGTTTTTTAGTTCTTTATCTATAAAAGGAGAGGGTTGCCCTAGAAAATCTAAGTTCCTTCCAGCTCTAAATCCTATGATCTTATGACTCTGGGGAGGGGAAGGAGAGAAGTTTTAAAAGCTGCCTGTCTTGCCTCCTACAGAGTTTTGGCCAATGAGAGTCAACGAGCATTCCCAACAGCCTGTCCCCTGCTCTTTTGGACCTTCCAGCTGCCTATCTGACCTGCCTGCCAAGGAAAGTTATCGGGGCTAATGCTAATTCTCTACTTTCCAGGACAAGGAGGGGACATGAAATAGTTGCTGAGGAGATGGGGGTGGGGGGCACACCAGAGCAGGTTTCCCAGAGAAGGTAACCTTGAGTTCTCTACTGGTCGGAGTCAAATCCCACTATGCTGGTGAAGGGACACACCAAAAAAGTGCCCATTTTGACCTATGTCTGACCCAGATTCAAGGTCACACTAAGGTTTCCTGATGTACCTCTTGATGAAGGAGGATGGAAATGGGAGAGGAAGCCAGAGAGGAGAGGGGACTCTGGCATCCCAGCCCCACCCCTGCCAGCTCCTCCTGCTACAGAATGCTAGCTCACTCAAGTCAATAGCTCCCACCCCATCTCAGAAGTTCAATTCCCTGCCCCCAGGACCTCTGGTATGCTGGGAGATAACAGGGAGAGTCCTAACTAGGCCCTGGCACACCAAACCACTGGCCTCCTCTGGACTCCAGTAGTGTCCACAAGTCCCCTTGGAATCCCAGTGGATTCCAAATTCAAGTAAATGCCCAACTTCCAAAAGTTCAAGGTAGGTTTCCTTAAAAACAGGAAAAAAAAATAATCACTGTGGAAGTGGTGAGGGGGGAAGCACTCCTTCTTCCTCCCAGTTTGGTTCAGAGGCTAGAGGGATGTCATACATCAGAAACATGCCTGTCCATCTACCCCATGGAGTACAAGAGCCTTATATTCCCTTGGGCAGTAGTGCAGCCCAGGACACCAGGCTCTGCCATGATCTGAAATGGGCAACAAGATGTCCCAGTCCTGGGTCCGCTGTCTGGATCTAGGAAGATTCAGTTCTTCAGAGGACCTACTCACTCTGCCAGGAGGGGTGTGTAAAGATGATAGACTTCTTTTTGGCCCAGCGAGAGAAAATAGCCTTCTCAGTGATGAATCGATGGGCACCCCGTGGTGCCTTCTCATGGACCAGGTAAGTGTGGCACTCATCCAACTTGCCCTTCTCAAAGTAGTGGTAAGGCACAGAGGGGGGGCTCTTTTCTCTGCAAGGGAGGTGAACATCAGAATGAGATCAAGCAGATTTCAACCCCTGGCTGAGATGGACACCTGCCTCCACCCCTTGGCTGTCACCGCCATCATCATTATAAACAGACATTTGCTGAGTTGCTAATTATGTTCAGGGGCCTTGCCTTGGTGTTCTTAGAAATACTCAGAAATCTAAGATCTAGTCCCTTGCCTCAAGGGGCTTACAAAGGCACACTGAGACAGTTAAATGCCATACAATGTCACACATGGGTTGTTTTTTGCTTTTTTTTTTTGATGTGTTGGTCGGCTTTGCTGGAAATTTTTTTCTCTTCTTCCTCTTTAAACTTTGTTAAAGGATGGCTAAATGATAGGGATGAAAATACAGACAAAAAGAAAGGCCACATGGTGACTTATGCCTCTGCTCTCCTATGCATCCAGGGCAAAGATAGAAGGAAACATAGGATTAGAGTCCCTGTTGAAGACTGACTCACTGTAGTGAGAGATTGGACTAGATAATGCAACGTTTGTGGATTGGGTTCTTAACGTAGGGGCCACAGAAGAGGGTCTGTGGATGGATTTTAGCGGTTGTCTATGAATTTGGATGGATAAAAAAAACCACATCTTTATTTCAAAAGGATTAGTTTCCTTTGTAATCCTAAATATTTTATTTTATGCATTGAAAAATATGATTCTGAGAAGTGGTCCCAGGCTTCCACAGACTGCCAAAAGGATTCATGACACTGATAAGATTAAGGATCTTCGCTCTAGGGAAAGTATGATCACAGGGGGCAATGAAGTGTGGGGGGGGGGGCCCCACTCAGTCCTGAATTACATTCCAAGGTAGTGAGACTAGACAAGCCCTCTTCATACCCCAGGAAAAATATGTTGGGGCCCAAGAAGTAGTAAAATGGCTGATGGGGCTCAAATATCTATGTAAACCTGTTCTACTCTATGCATGAATGATTCTACCCTTGTGAAGAATGTAATGAATAAATAGTTCTTTTCCCTGAACCTTGAAAGAATCTAGATAAAGTGGGGGGCCCTGCCTTCTATTCTGCTGTAGCCCCCCCCCCAAATGAATGGACTCAATAAATGCTTGTATATGAGATGAGTAGCATATTCTAAGGCTTCTAGGCAATAACAGTTCAGGTGCCCTTTCCTAGGTTACCTATCCCCCCAATAAGGGTACCCCTATATCCCTGGGAAAGGCACAATTTCTCTGCTGAGGGCAAATCTCAGCCCAAATCAGCCTTTACTCAAAACTTCAGGTCCTAGGCAGGAGACTTGGAGTATCCCAATGGAATTTCTGGGTAAGGCTGTCCCACTACCATTGCTAACACCGCCTTGTCCCCTAACTTCCCCCCTCTCCCCCGCCACTGATACCTGCAGTAGCTGTCGCTGACCATGCCATAGACTACAATCTGCTCACACAGCTCCATGGCCAGGATCATGGTGAACCACCCTGTGCTCAGGAAGGAGCCTGACTTCATCCTGAAGAAGGCAAAAACCATGCCACTTATCAGTACTGTCCTTCCTCCAAGACCTCCCTCTTCCCAAACCCAAGGCTGCAAGCCCTGCCAACCTGTTACACACTTGAACTGACCCCACCTCCTCCTTTTTCACAGCCTGCCTCTCCAGGGTTAATTACTACCCTCTTTATTTTCAGCCTTGTTCTCTGCTGATTTTTATGGTTCTTACAGACCCCTGAGAAGTCAAGTCTCAGATTCCAGATCTCAGAGACCCAACTTTAGAGGCCACTGATTCCAGCCTCCCAGGCAACCCCTCAACCGCAGGCCTGGCAAAGCATCCTGTAGCCTCTTCTTGACACTGATTCACAGTGCCATGGCAAGAGCGCTGGGCCTGAAGCCAGGAAACCTGCGACCCTGGGCCAATTACTGCCACCCTCCCGGCCTCGGGCTCACAGTCTAGTAAGTAGGGATAACACCACTTGTCCATACCTTCTTCTCACCGGGTGTTGCTTTGTAAACCTTAAGGTGCCAGAAAAACATGAATTTTTATTATTAGGCCACTGTAGGCCAAAAGCTCTGGTCAAAACATGACCCCCTGTGGTAACTCACACTGATACAGCACTGTAAGTATACAAAGCACTTTCCTCTTAACAATCCTACGAGGTTAGGAGTAGCAGTATTACATGCCCCTTTTTACAGATGAGGAAAACTAAGAAAATGAGTGATTTGACCATGGCCATACTACTAGTCAGAGCCAAGGTCTGAACCTAGGTCTCCTGACTTTCCACTCAACCACATTGTCTTTGGTTAAATTCCTAGTAAAACAGTCCTAGCTCCCCTCTCTGGTGCTTTGCAGATTAAGTCTGATCCCAAGCCCCTCCAACATGAGGACATGCTCTTACAAGCCCACTGGAACCCTCTTGTAGCAAAGAGAGGGAAAACTTGGGGAAAGGGGCCGTGGTGCTCACCGGTTTTTGCCGGTCTCATTCTGGAAGACCTCATCACAGTAGGCCATCATGTGGTCAGTGAGGGTGTAGAGTTGCACCCCAGGGTACATCTCCTTGACCTTCAGCAGGGTTCGGTAGGTGGAACCTCCCTGGTCACGGTTCATGCGCTTCCCAGGACCCCAGACCACATACACAGTGTCCCTCGCTTGCTGGAAGAAGTATGATTGGTTGCGCAGCAACAGGGGGACGCTGGTGTGGGACACCATGCGTAAGGTACTTCGGTGGCCCACATCTGCCTCGTAGCCTGCCGTGGGTGCCTGGTTCATACGCAGCACACACTCTGTCTCATCAATCTCTGGTCCCCAGCGGGAGCCAAGCATCTGACCGGAGCTAGATACCAGGGCACAGCGGCGACAAAGCCTGTGGACCAGAGGCTGCAGAAGAAAGATTCAATGGGGTAGAGGAATCTTTCCAGGATCTGATCTTGTATCTGTCTAAGGCCAATATACCCTCTGGACACTTGGAGGAAGGTGGTAGTAAGGAGGAGGACTTGTAACTGGGAGCAGAGGACTGTAAACCCTGACCTCTCGCCCTCAATGTGACCAGTGGCCTGGACTCATGGGCCAAGACACCTTTCTCAAGTCTTCTCTTACTTCCATTCCCTTAACCAATGCCTTCTCCCCTGAAACATCATTGTGAAATACCCAAAGGGACCTTATTTTCTTGGATTCTTTTGGAATTATGTCATGAGTGATATGGACAGCCAGAATCCAAGCCTTCTTTCCTTCTCAGTCCCTCACATTCACAAAATACTTAAAGAACAGGTTGAGCAGCTGCTCTCTCCAGAGGTCATGAAAGAAGTAACTGACCTCAGGATAATTATTTCAGTTTAGCATTAAGAAGATTTGTCCTATTTGCCAACCTCCATCTCTCAGGGAAGAAGCATTGTGTTTAGCTATATCTAGCAACAGAGATACTGTATTTTACTATGTCCAAGAAGACAGAGCTTTTATTTAAATAATAATCCCATAATAGAGATAATTGTATTTCTTTATGGTAAACAGCCAAAACATTATGCCACTTCTCTTTCTCCGATATCCCTTCTCAGAGTGTCTGGCAGAGAAATGGGCAAACAGGAGGTATCTGGAAGTCCTGCTTTCTGGATTGAACTAAATTGTTCATCTGTCTTATTTTCATTGGAACATAAACCCCTAGAAGGGTGATAGAGATGGGGGTGTTGAGGCAGTATGGCTAAGAATCTCATCCCCCACCCCTAAGTTGTCCTAAAAAAGCACAGAAGCAGACCCATGAAGTTAACCCACCTTGCCATCAGGCACACTGCTGTAACCCTGAAAGTTCAGGGGGCCAGGTACTGTGGGCCAGAGGCTCTCACGACGTTGCCCTGAGGCTAGGCACGCCTTCCAACACAGCTGTGTACACAGATGATTGCAGACAAGGACATAGAGGATGATGAGGACCAAGAGGCACAGTGGGATAGAAAACAGTCGGCCCTGGAGGGGAAAAAAAGGAAGTAGAAGTCAGCCGGAGCTGGGGGGTGGAGGCAATCCCCTATTCCATATTCTCTTAAGACTTTCCAAGCTCGAGATCACATAGGGCACAAGAATTACAAGATCATGGAATCACTGAATGTGAGCAGCACGGAATCTTAGAGTCACGCAATGTTTCCTTTGGAAAGGACCTCAGAGATCATCTAATCTAAAACTGCAGCCCACCACAGGAACATCCTCTATAGGAGGTTTCCCTCCTGGGTAGCAAAGCAGCCAAGGAGCCCCAGGCCTTAAAAATAAACCTATTCCTCTGTTAGACAGCTTTAATTTGTTAGGATTAACATCCTCTATCAAGTCAAAATCTACCTCCTTCTAACATCCCATCTCTAATTCTAGTACTACCCTGGAAAGAAAGGAACGAAGGGAGGGAGGGAGGGGAAAAAGGAGGGAGAGAGTGAAGGAGGGAGGGAAGAAAGGAAGGATGAAAGCAGGGAGGGAAGGAGGAAAAGAAGGAAACAAGTACCTACTATGTGCCTGGTACTGTGCTAAGCACTTTAAAAACAGTATCTCATTTGACCTTCATAACAACCCTGAGAGGTAAATGCTATCTGTTGTTCCGTTTTCAGCCATGTCTGACTCTTTGTGACACCAAATGGGGTTTTCTTGGCAAAGATACTGGAGTGGTTTGCCATTTCCTTCTTCAGCTCATTTTACAGATGAAGAAATGGGCAAATGGGTGAAAATGGGTGAAGTGACTTGCCCAGGGTCACACAGCTAGTAAGTCTGACGCTGAATTTGAACTCAGGAAGAGGAGTCTTCCTGACTCCAGGCCCGGTACTCTAACCACTGCGCCATTATTCTCCCCATTTTACAGCTGAGGAAACTGAGGCAGACAGAGGTTTAAATGACTTGCCCAAGCCCAGCTATTAAGGGTCTGAGGCCAGATTGGAACTCAGGTGTTCCTGACTCCAGATCCAGCGCTCTATCCACTGCCATGACTTAGCTGTCTCTGGTATTACAAAGCATATGCCTTCTCATCTTTAGGCAGCTAAAGTGTTGATTTCAAAGTTCCTGTCACAGGAGCTTTTCTAGTGAAAACTGATAAGGCCAGGAATAGTTACGCAATTATCCTTGATTACTGGCTTAGCACTTGTACTTTTTAAGTGCACATTCAAGTCTTCCTGACTCCAAATCCAGCAGTCTATCTACTATTCCACATTGCTACCCCTTAACAAGCTAGGCCAGTCAAAGGGACAAACTTGCGGACCTACAGTACCCCATGTAGCCTCGAGGCCCGCAGGTTCCCCACCCCTGAGCTAGGCTCTGGCCTACCTTTTCAGGCCCTTTGTACATCGATTTCCCTTCCAGCACTGCCCACTGCAGCCAAACCGGTCCCCAGCTGTTCCTCGTACATACCATCCCACTTTTCACCACTGTGATCACTGTCTCTTTGTACAGGTCGTCCCCTTTACCTGAAATGCAACCTCTCCTCCTCTTGGGATTCCTAGCTCCCTTCCAGGCTCACTCAAGTGGTCCTCCACATGTGGAGTGCAGTCCTTCCTCCAAAACACAGCTCAGAAGCCACGTTCTATGAGGCAGCACGTGGTCAGGATGTGGAATGAGTCATGTATATTTCTGGACAGGGACTATGGGCATTTGTTTTGCTTGACTGTGCATATTTGTTAGAAGGATTTTCTCTTTCTTTTAATCTTTAAAATTGGGGGGAGGTGGAAGAGAAAGGAAATAAATGCTGATTAATTGAAAAATAAATTAGAATTTTAAAAAAAGAAGTCACCTTTTTACACAAGGCCTAACGTCCTCTCCCTCTTAAATCACTTTATATATTCTTTATCCATGGACATGCCATATCTCCTCAGGAAAAAGCATACAGCAAAAGCTGTTTTCTCTGTCTTTGAAACCTCAAAGTGTAGCAGAAGGCCTTGTACACACGGAAACGGCTCAATAAAAGCTTTTTGAAATGCAGAGGTTTCACTTCATACCCTGCAAACTGGCAAAGATGACCCCAAAACCCCCTAATGCCGGAGGGACTGTAGTAAGACAAGCACTCGAATACATTGGTCAGAGTTCTCCAGAATTGGTCCAATCATGAATCCATCAAGTATTTATTAAGCACCCAACCACTGGGGATGAAAATCCAACGAATGAAGTAATTCTTCACTCAAAGAATTTACATACTAATGGGAGAGGCAAGAAATGCATAAAATATGGAATAAACATAAAGAGAATAAATACAAAGTTTAACTAAACAAAGAGAGGATAAGGAGAAGGCTTCAATAGCTAGGTGGTACAGTGCATAGCATGCTGGGCCTGGAATCAGAAAGACCTGAGTTCAAATCCAGCTTTAGGAACTTACTAGTTGTGTGACCATGGGCAGGTCAATTAACCCAGTTTGCCTCAGTTTCCTCATCTGTAAAATGAGCTGGAGAAGGAAATAGCAAACTATGCCAATATCTTTGCCAAGAAAACCCCAAATGAGATCACAAAGAGTCAGACCCCACTGAAATGACTGAACAACAACAAAAAAGAAAAACAAGGTGGAGCCTGAGCTTCATCTTGAAGGAAGAGAGTATCTAAAAGGCCATGATAAGGAGTGCATTCCCAGCATCAGAAATTCGAGGTGCCACATATCAAGAACAGAGAAGATAATTTGGAACTAAGTTACAAAATCGATGAAACTATTCCTACCCTTTGATTCAATGATCCCACTCTCAGGAACTTATCTAAAAGAGGTCAAAAACAGAAAACAAGGTCCAATATATACCAAAATATTCATCACAGGGGCCGCTAGGTGGCGCGGATAGAGCACTGGCCCTGAAGTCAGGAGGACCTGAGTTCAAATCCAGCCTCAGACCAAACACTTGACACTAATTACTAGCTGTGTGACCCTGGGCAAGTCACTTAACCCCAATTGCCTAAAAAACCAAAACAAAACAAAACATTCATCACAACACTTACCATGCTAGCAAAGAACTGGAAAAAAAGCAGGCATCCATCCCCTTAGGGAATGGATGATCCATAGTATATGAAGGGAATGGATTATTATAGTGAAAAAATGAAAATGAGGAATTCAGAGAAATATCAGAGGTTTTTATGAACTGATAAGGAATGAAACATACACATAGTGACTATCACTGAGTAATGGAAAAAAATCAGTAAAGGTCCTGGAGACTGGGATGATAACATATCTCTCTTCTCTTCAAAGAAAGGTGGGGAAGTTGAGGGCAGAATAGTGCATATACATCATATCAGTGTTTTTTGTTACTAGGAGGGTACAATTGTTTTGGGGGAGGAGTCTAAATACAGAAATAACTACAACTTAAAAAACAAGAGGTACCAATGAAACATTAATTTATAAAAGAATCAATGCTTGTTGAATTGAATGTGGATAATCGGTTCTTTTATCTTACGGGGCCAATTTCCCTGGCCCTTTGGGCCTCCTCGACTTCTCTGCCAACCTTTACCTCTACACTTGACCAAAGAACGAGATCTGGGTCAGTGATAGCAAATGGGTAAGAAAGACACAAGGATGGAGAGAGAAGCAGAGCAACATCAAGAAACTGCTTGAATAATTGAAACCTGCTGGTCTTGTCCATGACTAAATGTGGAAATCCATTAGCAAATGATTTTTAAATTATCTGCAGGGTCACAACGGGCAATAATTATCTCTTGAATACACAGATTTATTAAATAGGTGTGGTGGAAAGACACAGGATTTGGAGTCAGGAGGCCTGGTTTTGAATCCTGGCTCTGCTTTCTTGTGTGACCTTAAGCAAATCAAATCACTTTACCATTGACAGGGGAGGAGGACTTCAATTTAGGCTCATAAGGCAGCTAATGGTGCAGCAGATGAAGCACCAGGCCTGGAGTCAGGAAAACCTGAGTTCAAATCTAGCCTCAGAGTTGCTGCAGACTAGCTGTATGACCCTGGGCAAGTCACTTAACCTCTGTTTTTGTTTATCCATGAAAGAAGGAAATGGCAAACCACTCCAGCCAAAAAACTGCCAAGAAAACCCCAGATGGGGTCCCAAAGAGCCAGACATAACGACAACAACAAAAAGGATTATGAGCTGGAAGAAAGCTTGGAGGTCATTCTAGTCTAGTCTTCTCATTTTATGAATGAGGAAACTGAGCCTCCGCAAGGTTAAGGGACTTGACCAAGGCCACACAGATAAGCTGGGACCTGAACTCAGGCCCTCTGGTACCAGATCTCATATCTTCTTTGTTTCCACTTTTGTAAAATGAGGGAGTTAGACTAAATGATCCTTAAGGTCCCTCCCAGCTCTAAAGCCTACTGCCCCTAGAAGTGTTCCTATTATTATCTTCAAAGACAGCCAAATGAAGCCTCCCCCTACCCCCTCCTCAACTCCCACTAAGGACGAAAGGGGGTAAAAACCATGCCCCTTCCTAACCACGTGTGTGTCCCTTTAGCCAAACTATTGGTTGTAAGGACAAGCCAGCTGCGGGCGATGAAATAAGATCAGTGACCTCTCCCTCCTCTCAGACAGCACCTAAAAATAACCTTCCCCAACCTTCCCCCTCCTCCCACAAAGGGAGAGAGCATTCAGAGCCAGAAGAGGCCAGAAGGATCATCTCCAATTCAAACCCCTTGTTTTACAAAAGAGGAAACTGAGGTACAGAGAGTGGTAGTCCTGGAAGCAAAATCAGAATTTGAACTTGGGTCTCCTGAATTCAAATCTGATGCTATATCCCCTATACCATATTTCTTCCCAAGATCCCTTAACTCTATAGAGATAGCCTGTTTTGAGGAGTGGGCCTGGCTCTTTGGCCTAGCAGAGAATCACAGAACCTGGAATGTCAGAGATAGAAGGGACCAGGCTAGGGGTCAGGAAGACTTCAGTTATGGGTAAACCCTGGGCAAGTAACTTAGCTTCTAGAAGTTTGCCTCAGTTTCCTCATCTGTAAAATAGGAATAACTATTGTGAGAATCAAATGAGATGATAATTATAAAGGGTTTGGCACAGTGCCTGGCACATAGGAAGTGCTGTATAAATCTTAGCTATTATAATAATAATTATTATTATTATCTACAAGAAATCAACTTTTTTTGGGGTCATGTGCATTATGGTGAAGCCTATGGACATCTCAAAATAATGTTATTAAATGAATAAAATAAAATACCAAAGATTACAAAGGTAACCAATTTTGTTTGAAATATAGTCATTGGGGTATTTAATTAGAAAAAAAAACAGGTAAAGAACCCCTGATAGAGCCAACCCCCTAGGTTTTCCAGAGACAAAAACAGACCCTAAGGGGCAGCTAGGTGGCACAGTGGATAGAGCACCAGCCCTGGAGTCAGGAGGACCTGAGTGCAAATCCAGCCTCAGACACATAACACTCACTAGCTGTGTGACTCTGGGCAAATCACTTCACCCTGATTGCCTCACAAAAAAACCCAAAAAACAAAAAAAAAACAGACCTTACGAAGGAAGTGACCTGCCCACAGTCAAAAAAATAATAAGAATTTGAATCTAAGTCTTCCAACTCCAGATTTGGCTCACGTTCTTGGAACACAGGAAAATTACTTCTATGATCTCTAAGGATACTTTCAAACTCTGAAGATCTAAGAGTTTAAATAACGCATTTATTTAAGTTTGGGAGTAGAACAAAGCCTTATTGTGAGTGCGCCTGCTCTACCATGATGAACATTTTAGTTTAACCTTGAAGGTACTAAAAATAACTAAGGCCCAATGCCACAGGAACTGTGGAGAAAAGAGGAACTTCCTTTTGACCTTTAAAGTCATCTTTCACTTTTCCCTCTTGATGACTCCTCAGTGACAAAGTCTTACTTACAGTCTTAAGGAATTGCCTGGAGAGGCAATGTCCCACAACCAACCCAAGTCTTCCTGACTCTGAGGGCAGCTCTTTGTGCACTATGCTACAGGCGCTACTGACCCAATCTATGTCTACTGCCACCATCCAGACAGTTACCTGCACTGTCCCCCTGAACATAACTGGCACATCCTGGGACTTCGACTCAAGCCGTCCCTTCTTTATCTACCAGAATCCTTCATTCCTTCTCTCTGACTCTTCACCCTTGAGAAGTCGTCATCCCCTCTATGAACTGGTGAGTCCCACCTCTTCTAGGAAACTTCCCAGACTGCCCTGGACACATCTTCTAAGTTCCTGTAGCACTGACTGGTTGGATTAATCAGCAGGTACTAAATCATGAATTGAAAAGTTCCTGTTATACACAGTCCTAACTTCCCCCAAATGAACCATCATGTCCTAGACAGCAGGGCCTATATTATACATATCGCTATGGAGAACAGCGCCTGCCAGATAGATAGATAGATAAATAGATACATAGATAGAAAGATAGATAGATATACAGACAGATCTAGATGTAGACAAAGCCTCTAGTAAATGTTCATTAAGTTGCTATTTATAATCATAAACTAATCTCTAGTCTCTTTAAAAAAAAAGAATTCAAAAGAATAAATTCTAGTTCTTACTGCATGATCCTGGGCAACTGACTTTCATCTGAGCCTTAGGGGAAGTCAGGAAAGCTAGACTGAAAGAAAGATTAGTTCTAACTCTGAAAGGCCTATTCCTTAGCAAATGGTTAATTTAGACTCAACATGTCAGGTTGTCATGGCAGTCTCTAGTTTGTGGGACTCCAGGCCATATCCCCAAGCCACCTCATTCATGAACAACTACCATATCCAAGCTATAATATGTAGTCACTTGGGACCAGCTGCTCCTACCTTTGGCTGCTGCTAATTTGGATTAAATGATCTCTAAAATTTCTTTCCAACTCTAAATCCTATAGTATACAGGTTCCTGTGATGATTCTTGCTGTTAATTTTCTAAAAGGGCAATACAGAGTCCTGATCAGTTACTTCTGTTTTGTCTAATGTCTTAAAATCACTGAGAACATGGATTAATTATCCTGTTTCTAAGTTACTGACTGGAAGGTGAGTTAAAAGAAGTTAATGAGCAGGGACAAAGTGCTAGCTATATTCCCCTTCCCACTGAAAATCCCCAAAGCCACAATAGGGATAAAGCCTGATAACTCCAAGTGGGAAGGAAGGAAGGAAGGAAGGAAGGAAGGAAGGAAGGAAGGAAGGAAGGAAGGAAGGAAGGAAGGAAGGAAGGAAGGAAGGAAGGAAGGAAGGAAGGAAGGAAGGAAGAAGTGAGGGAGAGAACAAAAGGAAACAAGGAGACAAGCATTTATTAAGTGACTGACTACTATATGCCAGGCACTATGCTAAGTAATTTTACAAATAATCTCTTACTTGAAACAATAATGCTACAGTGTTCCTATGACACTCATTTAACAGTTAAGGAAATGGAGACAGAGATTAAGTGACTTGCCCAGAGTCAGAGAGCTAGTAAACATCTGAGGCCTGTTTTGAAACTCATGTCTTCCCCACTCCAGGCCTAGCACTCTATCCATTTTGCCACTTAATTGTCTCTGAAGCAGTCCAAGGACAAGCCTGGAGTTTGACCAGCAGATTTAGGCCAGTCATGTAGGGACCCCCTGCTTCGTGCTAAAGAGCTTTGTCCCCAGAGTCAGAAGACTAGATTTCTAATACCAGTCTAGCACTTAGTGGCTGTGTGAGTTAGTGAAAAATCCTTCACCCTCTCTGAGCCTCACTGAACCCAGACATCCCTAAAATCCTGGCCCTGCTTCCCTTACAGGGTTGCTGTGAGGATCAAATAACCACATATGTCAAAGTAACCTACAGCACAATAGAAATGTGAGCTGTTATTAATGGCAACAGCAATGATGCTGTTGTTATTAGGCTACGTACCCTTGCCTCTCCTCCTAACCAGGCACTTTTCCCACTACCAACACCCTCCCTCTAAAGGCAAAGGCTGGGCAGTCTATGGAAAGAGGCCCTTTGGGAGTCATAGGCCCTGAGTTCTGGCTCTGCTACTTACTCTTTTTGTGACCGTCCCCTTCTCTAGGCCTCAGTTCTCTTGTTTGTAAAATAAGGTGGTTTGGACTAAATGGTCCCTAAGCTCCAAATCTATGTGATTCTACACATTCCCTAGACTAAGAGTCTTCCCATGGACACCCTTTTGGCAGTATGGTGAAGCTTATGGACTCTTTCTGAATTATAAAAAAATTCATAATGAAAGAAAATGCTAAATTTCAGTTAGAGATTAGTGAAAATGAAAATGCATTTTTTTTCCCATCCAAGTTCATAGATCGAAGGTTAAGAACTCCTGCTCTAGGATCCTGATCCCATCTCTTCTGCTCGTTCCCATTTTCCAAGGGGTAACACTGAGGCCCCACCAGCGGCGGCCACTACGCCGCTGTCCTCCTCTACTTCTCCTTCTTCACTCACCGCCGTCTTCATTCTTTAACCTCTTAGCGGCTGCAGTTCTTCCTTCTCCACGGAGACAATCGGCCTGAAAGGGATCCCGAGGGAAAGTCGGTGCGCGGCGGCCACGCCCCCGCCTCCTGGGGGGCCGGAGCGGGTCTGGACTTCGGGGTGAGGGAAAGGAAGGTCCAAGGAGGGAGGGAGGGAAGGGTCCACGGAGGGGCTCCTCCCCCGCCCGCTCTGTGGACAGGATCGTCCAGGATGGAGAAAGGGCGCGGGATGAAGGGCGGCACCCGCAGCCTGGGTCCGGGAGCTGGGGGCGGAGAGACAGGGAAAAGAGGGGGGAGGTCTAGCTCTCGCCCCCCCGCCCCGGCCCATCTGTTCCCCTTCGCCCCCTGCAGCGCTTCCCCCCCCCAGAGCTGGAGTTTTCTCCTTGTCGGAAGGGAGGTCACCCCCCCACCCAGGAGGGACCCTCGTCTCCATCCCCAACCCTAGCCCCGCCGCATCCTACAGGCGCGTACCCGGCAGGGAGGAGGGAGCAGGGGGCAGGGCGGCGCGCCGGCCGCTGGGTATCGGCTCCTGGGCGCAGCTCCATCGCCAGGGCCGCTCCGCAGCCGGGGGAGGCGTCCTCGGGGGCCCGGGGGGCTGGGGAAGCCCGGGAGCCGCAGAGCTGGGGCCTGCAGCGGCGCTGAGAGGGGGAGGGGAGGAGAGAGGCCGGGTCCTGCGAGGGCCCCGCCCCGCCCCCTGCTCCCGCCCCCGGGGTCCTTCCTCCCCACCCCTCCCCGCACGTCTCTGCTGAGTGACCTTGGGCAAGTCACTTTACCTCTCCGGGTCTCTCTTTCCTCCTCTGGGCCGTAAACATCTCTCAGCTCACTGAATAATCGTGAGGTCACCCGCCCGGCGGGCCCAGGCTCTCCCCAGCCTGCCGCCATCCGGTCCGGTTTCCTGAGGCTCTGCCCCGCCTATCTCCAACTCCCCTCCCTTCCTCTCCCCCCACCCCTTCCACTTCTAAGCAAGCAGGGCAGGAAGCTGAAGATGCTCGGTGTCGGCTACCAGCCCCATCCCCCATCCCCCCTTCCCCCCATAACGGAGAGCACGGCTCAAGTCCTCTCGGCATTTCCTGTTGCGGCAGCCGGGCTGGGCATTCCCTGTGGCTTTCTTACCGCCCCCCCCCCCAAGGCCACGCCGTGCCCCCACTCTGCTCTGGGCCCTGCATTGGTAGCCAGCAAGCAGAGGTAGCCCAGAGGCGCCGCCCCCCCCAGCCCCCGCCCTCCGGAACCCATCGCCAGGCTGCCCTGGGCTGTCAGCGCTTTAAGAACCTTAGATTCCCACACTCACTTACGCACTTTGCAGAGGACACTCAGGCCAAATGAGGGGCTTGAGGCCACCCTGGCAGTGAGCTGGCAGGACCAAACGGAACTTGCAGCCACCTGAGAGCCACACTCCTTCCCTTCCAGCACACTGACCTATCAGTAATACCTTTCTTTGTTGTGTAGTTCAGTCGTTTGGGTCGTGCCCGACTCTCCCTGACCCCATTTGGGGTTTTCTTGGCAGAGATACTGCACTGGTTTGCCATTTCCTTCTCCAGCTCATTTTACAGATGAGGAACTGAGGCTAACAGGGTTAAATGACTAAATGCCTGAGGCTGGATTTGAACTCAGGAAAATGAGTCTTCCTGATTCCAGGCCCAGCACTCTGCGCCACCAAGCTGCCCATATTCCCTTTCTACCTTCTGCCTATTGAAGTTAAGCAGAGCAGGAACTATTATCACCATTTTACAGATGAGGAAAGTGAGGCCAAGATGTCCTACAGATTCCAGGCCCCAGGGCTAGAGGGTTTGCCAGATGTATCCCTCACCTTTTCAGCCTCAATTCCTGGGGACAGGGTTGGTCTCCTCCCTAAACTCGCAGAGGGATTAGTGAAAGCTGATCAGGCCAACTGTGAATTTCAGCCAACATTCCAGCACTTCCTTTGAAAGCAGAGAATGGGGGGCAAAAGTGACCCTTTAAATCCATTGTACAAATCAGCTGAAGCCTAGAGAGGAATAATAATTTGCCTAGGATCACATGGAGTTAATGGCAGTTCAAGGACTAATCCTAGTAATATCTCACATTTCTATAGCACTATAAGGTTTACAAAATGATTTCCTCAGTGATTTTTTCTCCGCTGTATATTTATTCAAGTTTTCATTCCTATTTCTTGATGAGTTCATTCAGCATCTTTTTGTTTCTCTTCTAGATTGTCCTTCACTTCAGTATACTTGTAGTCCCAATCTACTAGTCCCTCTTTTGTTTATTTAGAGAGTCTTGCCTCTGGGGATTCATGTTTTTCTATTTTGCTAATATTTCTTATATGCAGGTCATAAATGGTGCCAATTGTTTCAGTCTTCTCATACAATCCTGGTTTCTCCTTTGAATTACTTTGGAACATCCTGCCATGATTTCAGATACTGTTGGGAACCCACGGGGTTTTGTGTTTCATCAGGTCAGTCAGTCATTCTACAAGTACTTATAAGCACCTACTGTGTGCCAGGTAATGTGCTAAACTCGGGAGGCTGAGCCAAGCCCAGCTGCAGGTATCCAGGTAGGCTCAGGAACATCTGCTGCCTCAATGTGATTCCAAAACCTGTACCAGAGCCATATCGCACACATGCGCAGTCTCCTCAATGATTTTTTGAGGTTCATAGTGTTATTCCCAACCTAACAGCTGAGGAAACTAAGATTCAGAAATTGCCAGTGTGACTTGCCCACAGGCAGGCAGGTAAAGACTGAAAGAGACTCAAAAGCAGGTCTTCCAATACCAATGCCATGTTCTTTCCATCCAGCTCAGTCTTTCTAATATTTTCTCTTAAGCTACGTTTGAAACCATGCCACAGGAGAATTGGTTGAATTGGGGTTAGACTGGAAAAGGGCCAAATTTGGCCACATGTTGCTGTGGCAAGAGCAAGGCACTGACTTGTCTTTGAATGCCCATCCTGGCAGGCCTGTGTGACCTTGGCCACATTTCACCCCTCTAGGCCTCAGTTTCACAGGAGCATAGATTTAGAGCTGGAAGGGACCTTAGAGAACATCAAATCGAACTCTCCTCCCACCCCTTCTCATTTCACAGATTGAGGAAATTAAGACTGAAGTTAAGTGAGCTTGTCCAGGCTCACATAGTCAGTAAGTATAGGAAGTAGGATTTGAATTCAAGTCTTCCTGACTCCAAGCCCAGCACTCTATTCACTGTTTTTAACTAATTTGTAAAATGAAAGGGTTGGACAAGATAATCTTTAAGGCCCCTTCTGGTGCCTACCTCAGACTTTTCCCTTTCCAAAACAGACCTTGCAGCTCCATTCATTGTTCAGTTCCCATCAGGCCCACTGTGAGCTAGATGCTGACCCCCACCTCCCTACATCTGCTGGGGGTATCCCAGAACCCAACCCCATTGAACCCACTACTTTCTTGATAAGAGATCATTTGCCCTACTCCCCAAGGTCTCCAGAGCGTTTCTGTCAGCTCTGATACTTTCTCTGCCTAATACTATTTGGCCTTTCCACCTGTCATGACCTCGAACCTTCCTTTATATCAATTCATCCCATTAGAATGTAAATGGCTTGAGAGCAGGGGTTGTCTCCATTTTCTGTCTGAATCCTAAACACTTAGAATAATGCTTAATAAGTGTTTTTCTGTCCTATGCCACTTTTGACTCCAGACTGGATAACAGCTGGGAATCCAGGGGACAAGGTTCTGGACATACCCAAAAGGGACAGAGCTGGCCCATATTAATGAAGATCGTAAAAAGATGTTGGGGGGGAAGGGGGAGCATAGGATGGTTTCTTAAGAGGTATTTATTTCTCCATCTTGGTCTAAGCCATGCCTTCTCATCAGTGCTCAACCTCTCCCAACCTAATCCACAGTTACTGGGGCATAGAGGGAAGGTTGAGTGCATTTTAAAATGACTCTTTGATTGAGAGCTGAAACTAACTCCTAAACCCTTTGGCCTCCCCTCCCCTCTCCCCAAACTGCCTGTGTGTGACCATACCAGCCACACCCTCAGTGTGGCCTTGTCTGTGAAGACTAACTAATGGTTACTCACAATTCCAGTCAAGTCTCTTCCTCTTTGGAGGTGGGGTATAGGAGGCTGAAACCTTTCCAGAAGTTTCTCACTTTCCTCTGCCTAGATCACTTTTCAGCAGTTCACAAGCTCTCAGCACCAGGAAGGCCTTCAGGTACCATCTCAGTCTAACCCACACTGGAATGAGAATCCTTTCTATAACATAGCTGATAAGTGGTCCCCCAGTCTTCATCGAAGACCTCCCTCCATTGAGGGAGAATCCACTGTCTTTTGAAACAGCCTATGCATTTCACTTGGGCATGGAGCTTTTGATGAAGCTCATTAATGCTTTTTTCCTGACATCAAGCCCAAATCTTCCTCTCTGCAACCTTGGACCATTACTCCTCCTTCTACTTACTGCTGTCAAACAGGACCATCCTAATCCTCTCTGTAGCACAGCTCTCATGCTCCTTCAAGCTTTTCTGCTCTAAGCTAAACATCCCCAGCTCCTTCAGCTGGGAGGGGCCTCAGATTCTTTACCATCTTGGTTGCAACATCCTTCCAAAAATGTGACACCCACAACTCAATACAATACTTCAGACATGATCTGTCCAGAAGGAAGACAGAGGACTATCGCCCTGGACATGATGTCTCTCTTAATGTAACTCAAGATCACATTAATTTGGGGGGGCATATCCTATTCTGGTCAGTCCAGATATCTTATCCAGGAGCACACTCCTCAAAATAAAGATAAAGTTAGGGGTGTGTTAGAGCCAGCAGTTAGCTCAACAGAGAAGATTGTTAAATTTTCAGTGGGAGCATTCACACCTTGAAAAATCAGCAAATGCTACAAATCAAGGCTCAATCTAGTGTTTTGTTGCTTATCTAGACTTAAGAAAATGACAGCGATGGGCAGCTAGATAGTGTAGTAGACAGAGCATGAGGCAAGAGGTCCTGAGTTCAAATCTGGCCGCAAACATCTATTAGCTGTGTGGCTTTAGGCAAGTTACTTAACCCCAATTAGTTGCCTACAAAAAAAAATCAAAGAAAGTGATGGAGAAAATGTTAATGATATAGATGAAACTGTCCTGTGTCTGTTTTTGTTTTTTCTCAGAGAACTGGTTATTAAACATTTACCAGCACACCCCTGATACAGATTTTCTTTGAATATAGTTATCATGTTCTTTCTAAGTTAAACATATTCATTTCCTTCTGATGATTCTTACAGAGCTGAATCCTAAGACTTCACGCTCCTGGTTGCCCTCTAATCACTAGCCCAGTAGCTCAGTGGATCAAGTGCTACAGCTGGAGTTAGGAAGACCCAAGTTCAAATCTAGCTTCAGACATTTATTAGCTGTGTGGCCCTAGGCAAGTCACAACCTCTGTTTCAGTTTCCTCATCTGTAGGATGAGGGTAATACTAGCACCTGCCTCCCAGGGTCATTGTGAGGATCAAATGAGATAATACATGTAAAGTGCTTTGTAAACCTTAAATTGCTATATACATGCTAGCTATTATTATTTTTAATTCGTTTCTCCCTCCAAAAAAAAAGGCAAGAGGTTTCAAATTCATAGATTGAGAAATCTCAAAAATTCTTTTCTAAATCTGAAGAAATAAATCTCCAAGTACCCATAGTGAAGAGGCAGCAGAGAGTAATGAAAAGTGGGCTGGCTTAAGAATCAGGATGCCTGGGTTCACATCCAGGGCAAGTCTTATTATGATTGAGGCTCTGTTTCTTCACCTATAAAACAGTGATAATAATACTTGGATTACTTAGCTCACAAGACTGTCCAGTCAACAACCCAACAAACATTTAGTAAATAACTGCTATGCACTGGGGTCACAAATCAAAAATGAAACAGTCCTCTTCAAGCACC